ATGTCTGTACAGACATAACGTATTTTAAAAATACGTTATGTCTGTACAGACATAAAAAAACCTTACACAGACATGTGTAAAAAGTGTGTACCTTTAGAATTTTTCTTTTATTATTCTCAAATGGTCGGGTTGATTTAAGTTTCATACATGTGATATTAATTTCATAAAAAAGTACTCCATCCGTTCTTTTTTAGTTGCAACGGTCAACATTTCACATTTGCCAACGCACGTCTTTAACCGTAATTATATCTTAATTCTATAGTAAAAAAAATATTAAAAATCAGATTTTGAAAATTTGTAATGAGATGAAATGAACAATATTTTTTTGAAAAAATAATTTTCATAAAATAATAGCGTAAAATGTACTCAAAGTAGAGCATGTGAATAGTGAAAATTCAACATGTTGCAATTAAAACGGAACAGGGATAGTATGAGTTTAACGTAAATCTGCCTTTTGATGATCTATTTTGATTGAGTGCATTAATAGTCAATGATTATAACTTATTACACACGAACCAAACATTTTTCAAGTAGATCAAAACAAATCAAATTACATGAGAATATTGTGATTCATATAATTTATTTGTCTTATCGATAATTTATTCGATCATATTTGCTTCATAATTTAGGGAGGGAAGAGTTGCACATATATGAGTAGTAATATGATACGTACACTCTTCATTTGCTTCACGCTTTATGTTATAGAGAATAATAACAATCGTATAATTTTTATATGAATGATCAATCCCCATCCACTAGACTTGTACCGCGCCATATATGATCTTTTGGTTTGTGGGCCAATTAGGGTCACATACTCACATGCATGAATGAATATCAAGTTTTAGATTGATTCGATGCCACATGTATGGGTCATATATTCTAAAACTTTGTGGGTGGAGACAAAGGAGCTGAGGTTGATGGGAACCTCCACCCCAACTAAAATATACAAATGTATAAATATTTATATATAGTAGATTTTAAGTTTTGGTTCAGTGGGCGTAGCTCAACTGGTAGCAAGGGATTGACACAAGGGTTATGTTCCGGATTCGAATCCCGTCAACTGCGATGAGGGGTTACTATACTAAAAATGCATAGGGCCTCTGCAAGTACCAGGGACAGAGCGGCTCTATCTTATAGACCTACCGCAACTCTAACTTTTAGTCATGTTTATAAACCTACCTCAAACGAATTTTTTGTTGAAGTTGTTAATCTCGCCGGCGCTTTTTGTGAATTTTCCGAAGCCACTTACGTTAGTTATTTTTGTGATTTCATGAAACAAAAGTTTTTAAAATATTATTCACATATTCCGCATATATATGGTTTTGCATTTGTTCTTGATCCTCGTTATAAACTTGCTTACTTGGCAAATTGTATAGATTACTATTATGCTTCTTTTTTTCCAACTCAAGAGTTCGATGATAATCCCATCGACCCTAAACAAGAATTCAACGAGGTTAGTAATTTATTTCATCAATTGTATAATGAATTTCATGCACAATATGGTAATGCACCCCCTCCCATGCAACGAACATCTTCTTCATCTAAAGGAAAATCAATTTTAAAATCCGCTTTTGGTTCTCTTTTGAAAAAAAGTAGAGCAACTCCCGCTACTGAACAAAGCTCAGGTAACGAGCTTTCTTTGTATCTAACATTGAATGTTGATTATGAAGTTGGTGATGACTTTGACGTTCTTAAGTGGTGAAAGGAAAATGAAAGAACATTCCCGATTTTATCAAATATGGCTAAGCAAGTGCTAGCAATGCTGATATCAACCGTTGTCGTGGAACAAGAATTTAGTGCGGCCGGCAACGTCCTAACCGATTATAGAACGAGGTTGAGCTCGAGCTCTCTTGAGACACTAGTTTGCTTTCACGATTGGTTGAAGGCCCAACGAAGAACTCAAGAAATTACCATCGCTCACACCCGCCACTTTATGGAGGAAACAACCGAAGGCGGAGATTCCGATTGATTTTTTATTACAACATGTATTACATTTTTTAAATTCATCCTAATTCTCAATTGTACTTCTTATTTGAAATAAATATACTTGAATTAGAATATAATACGGAGTATATTGTAATTGTAATAAGAATTATTCTAATAATATAATATCCGGGCCCGTGAACCGGGCGGGTGACCCGAACCGAACCGGACCCGGGGTTATCCGGGCCGGTTCCGAGCCTGCCTTCCGTGAACCGAGGCCCGACCGGTTCAAGGCCCGAACCGGTCCCGGCCCGAACCGAGTCCACCACTAACAGAGCCTCACAACCCCTATCTGTCAGATTGGGATTATAGTCCAATTTTACATCCTCCCAACGTACCATCCGATCGGAGTTGGGGGGCTCTCAGGGATAAGGTGTCATCCTTTTTTTAAACCTCCACCTTCCTACCTGCTATTTCTAGCTCCGCCGCTGGTGGGCCAGGTAATTTTTCCTAATCATTGAGGAACTTGGCGAATGGATACTAATGAAAAAAATGGAAAATAAAAACTGTAAATAATTTAAACAAATTAAAATGCTGTTTGTCAAAATAATGGAAGTCATGTTTGAAAATAAAATATAATTAATCATATTTGCAAATTCTTCTTAAAAATTTGATCTTATTAGCAACAATTTCTTAACATTAATCTATGGAGTTTCATCCTAAATTCCTAGACTCCTACTATATTCTATAATACACTTCATTTTTGTTGCATAGGGTGATCTGGATTTCACTGGATTAATCTTGTACTCAAAAGGACCCACCCTAATCCCTTAAGGAAAGTAAATGAGCCAACAATCATATGTCAACTTTAACTGATTGATTGTGTGTATCCTCAGGTTTCCAACACAAGTCTTGTGAGAATCACCAATCAAACACTGCCAGGGGGTTTTCACACACCAATTTCTCATAAAGAAGTTAATCCTTACACTGTCATTTAAGATGCAGTGAAATACCGATTGTGCCATCATTGGAACTAGCCTTCGGACTAGATCTCTCTAAATTCACATCCTATGTGACTTGAAACTAAAATCTCCAATAAGTAGAAGATCTTACATGCGGAAAGTGGTCTACTTGGACCTAGCTCCCACTTGTCAATATTGATGGACTCGAGCCGGGTCGGGCCCGGGTCGGGCCGCCGGGTAGTATGACATGGGCCCGGGACCGGCCCGAGGGTTGGACGGATCCGGTCCGGGCCAGGTCACCCGCCCGGGTCACGAGTCGGGTCCGGTTCGGGCCGGTTAAATTTTTTTTTTTTATAATTTATATTTTATAGTTTATAGTTTTATACGAGTATTAAAAACAAACTTCAATTGCATTTATTTGAAATGAAATAGGAACTACATTTGAAAATTAAAACAAACTTTAACAGATAAACATTTTGAAAATTGTAATCAATCGGAACTTCCCGCACCTCCCGATCCTTTGGCTTTGTCACATGACTTCATATGCTTGATTGTCATTCTGAATCCGCCAGAAACCCCCATACTACATTTTTTCTCGCACCATTTGCAAATTGCGTACCACATCCCGGTCTTCGGGTCCTTCTGCTTATCAAAATTATACCGTATAATGGCATCTTGATTTTCCATCTTAACTTCTTAAGTATTAACTATAAAGTAGATATATAAATAATAAATATAATATATTGGAGAATAAGAGAATTAGAGAGTAGAGAGTTAAGAATAGGATTTAGGAAGAATTAGAGAAGAGATATGAAAAATGTTTAAGATTAGGAGTATTTATAGGTTTTTTTACCCCCCACCCCCCACCCCCACCAGCCAACCCCCCCGGACCCCCCCTTTACCCCACCCAACGGCTATATAGCCGTTTGGGTTGTCCCCAGCCCCACCCCCAACGGCTAGTAGCCCAAGAGCCCAAACAAAAAAAAAAATTAAAATTAGACCGGACCCGGGCCGAGTCACAATAATCCAGCACCGAGCCCGCCCCGCCCCTTCCCACCGGTTCGGGTCCATACCAGGTCCCGGACCGCCCGACCGGGCTGGTCTCGGGCCCGCACAGTACCGGGCCGGGTCACGGGCCGAGTGGCCCGAACCGAATCCAACCCTACTTGTCAATGCCCGTTTGAAATGGCCTCAAGAAATGTACTTATGTACCTAGGCATGGACTCGGGTCAGGTGGCCCGACCCGGAACCGGCCCGAGACCGGCACTGTTCCGGCCCGGCCCGAACCGGTGGCCCGGTCAGTGACCGGTCCGGGTAGGCCCGACCCGGTGGGTTTCCGGTCCGGGCTCGGGTCACCCATAACAAGGCCCGGCCCGATTCGGGCCAAATTTATTTTTTTTTTGGTTTTTTTCATTTGTTTGGGCCCCACCGGGTTGGGCTTGATGTTTAGGAGGGGTTTGGGGCGTGGGGGTGAGGGGGGGTCAGGGATGGGTAGCTAAGCAAAAAAAAAAAAAAATTAACCAAACCCGAGGCCCGGCCTGGCCCGGCCCGGACCCGGTGGCTACCCGGGCCGGTCCCGGGTCCAGCTATATAGGACCGCCGGCCCGGGCCCGACCCGGCCCAAGTCCAACCCTATATGTACCCAGTACCCTTGCACATTTGAAAGACCATTACACAATGACCGTCACAACAGCTAGTGTGTATCAAATGACAATGTGTAAGCAGAGTTGCAACCAGGGTATAACTCACCTGATAGAAACAAGGAAGTGTCACAAGGGAGAGATCTCGGATTCAACTGTTCAACTTCAACCAAAGATGAGATATACAACACAAAAGATGTAGAGACAAAAATAATCGTTTTATCATTAAATATTAAATATAAATAATGTCATTTAGATGTGGGGTATGATGTTCACAATATAACAACAATCAAACTAAAACCAATGTGTAACTTGACCAAATCCATCTTGTATCAAACCGTAAATGATAAAGAAAATTAAATTTCCAAAACCTTAAATTAGCTTTTTATTTCCGAAGTTAAGAACGAAAAAAAAAATTCTATACTACTCTTTTTGTAAAAAAAAAGTATCAAAACATTATTCTACATATTTATCCTTGTAAAGCAATAAGCTTAATAATCATAACAGTTTTACTAATATATTAACTTAATAAGAAAAACAACTCGAGTCTTCTGTTAAATTGATTTTTGCACTTATTATTTAATTAAAAAATTATAATACGAGAAAGCGATCGGAACACGATCGGGGGGTAGCAACAATCAGGATCCGAGCAGTGGCTTGATTGAAACTGGGATCGAGCTCAAGGTAATAATTGATACCGGGTATTACAGAATCACAAACTCAAAATCCGCATATGCAGTTTATATGTGGGTATATTATTACACCGAATAAACCAAAACGGTCGCATAATGTTGGGGATAAACATGAATTGATTGATACAGACTCGCAGACATTAAATAAAGTCTTATGTTATAACAGTTGGAACAGATCGGCCAGTGAACTCCTCCATTTTAGACAGCTTAAGAGCAACCTCAACCTGCACCGAGATGAATGGGATAAAGATAAGGACTGTGAATTGTACAGGTGGGGGGGGGGGGGGGGGGGGGGGGGAACAAAGGTAATGTGAAATGAAGAGCTTACAAGAGGGCCAAGCGCATCATGGGATTCTCTTCCAATCTTGGATGAATCGTTCTCATACTGCTCAATGTACAGACGGATGGTTGCACCCTCAGAGCCAGTTCCCGAGAGACGGAAAACCTGGTTTATGGTGTATCAATAAAAACTGAGATTCCAGAATCACATAAAAAACGCGATTCACTTGGAAAAATTAGGTGTGGGTCCGTCTCCAGTTCGGGAACCGTTACTGGGCGGTAGAAAACCAAACTAGGTACATGTTTTCCTGGTGCCTCCCATTTAAGATTGAAGCGGCAGGTTTCGGTTCTGTTTCCTATGAAGGTTCCGCGTACCACCTATCTTAGATGGGGAACCTGCAAGTCCAGAACTTGGTCCACACCACGAAAAAAATGCAGTATACCAAAACTCCTTACCAAGCGTGACCCATCCTCAAAGAGATACCGAATACCCTGATTACTTGAGATGGAGCCATCAACAGGGTCCTTGTACTCGAATTCATCACCATGTACAACCTTTGAAACATCTGCGCGAACTCCTGCTATTATCCTATGATATATCAACAAAACACATGAATGTCACTCCATTGACTTTAGCAAATGACTTCAGAATCTTTATCACATAGTAAAGAGCAAAATTTAACATGTCTCACAGCTACAAGTTATTTTGCACCCACTTCAACTGATACAACATACAAGACTTATAAAAAATATATATACTACGAGTAAATAATAGTGGTCATGGGCTATCCTAATAGCATAGATGTGGATGACCCCAAGATTATGGTAGTTTGGACATTCCAGTTATACTTGCTTTTAGTACGGAAGGTACAATGGTTTTGTACTTTGATGTTCTACTGCAAACTCCAGATAGTCTCGCTCAGTTTTCATTAGCACTCACTCAGTATGAACTATACTAGCTATGGGGCCAAATGAACATTTGTGATGCCATTATCACCTATAAAAAAATATCAAACAATAGCAAAAAATAGCAATAGCTACAGGTAGCATTGTCCTATCAGGTAAAATTTCATATTCAAGCAAAAAATAGCTACACATGATTGCATATTCTTGGTTCTACGCAACTTCTATTCAAGGAAGGTGATTGCCAAATAGTTACAAAGAGTCGATATTCTTTAATGTTCTGTTTTCCAAGTTGGTCTCTGATTAAGAAAACCGAGAGTTGGGAAGTTCGGAACAAATCCATAAAAGTAAAGCCAACCTTAGTTATAAACGAGAGTTCTAAATATCACCAAAAGGCATCTACAGAATATTAAAAAATAGGTTACTTGTTAACTTCATCGAGGGAGGATTGCAGCTTGACCAAATGAGCCATCAGTTCCTTAGCACCAGATGCATCAACATTCTTGCAGAGCAAAGTCAGTTGTAAATTGTAATATATGACATGGCATAACTCATAACGGGTACCTGAAATTCACTCATATGCAGACAATAATCATTAGAATTGAAATTATAATATTAGATACCTCATAGTCGTATCTAGTGTAATAATGGCGTCCATAGGTGGCCCAGTGTTGGCGAACAATGTCTTCGACTGTTACAAGTTTCCCACTTTGGTTTTCCTTATTTTTATGGGCAAGAATGTTCAGCCAAGCTAAAACCGCCCAAATTCCATCCTTTTCTCGAATATGATCTGATCCTGTTGATATATAAATAAGTGCAAAATCAAACACAGTGCCTGGTGCATCAGCAGGGTGATTCTTCAAGAAATTAAATGCAGGAGGCTAGGGTGCTAAGCTTCTCACCAGTTCCGAAGCTTTCTTCACCACAAACTGAGCACATTCCAGCATCCATCAAGTTGCCAAAAAACTTCCAACCAGTGGGCACCTGGAAAGAGAAAACAACAGTAATCAAAATGATGAAGGCTTAGACAAGGCCTTCAATGTCTGCTAAGACTTGAGAGGCCTAGGGTTGTAAAAAGTTTTAAGTTTGACTGCTAATATATCTCCCAGGCCTCCAAAGCCTCCCCTGCACGTGCACACGCATGAGCCAGACACAACTTCATAAAATGGAAAAGAACGGGGGGTAAAGAATTTGTACCTCAAAAAATTTTAAATTGAGGTGTTTAGCAACCACATCAAGAGCAGCTGACGTGGGCATACTCCTGTGGAAAAAGTAGTGCCGAAGAAAAATTGAACAAAACATGCATGTGATAATCAGGTAAAGATAAAAATTGCTTTGCATTTCATGTGGTTTCAGATTATAACTGCAGACCTGGCAACTCCTTTTAGACCTCCCGAAAAGTAAGGGATTGCTTGAACAGCATTAGCAGCTATTATAGCAACAGAATCGGAAGGAGTAACAAAGAACCTGGCAACATATACTAAGTTAAATATTTATTCTTATAAAAGATCATGATATATAAAACAAGATCCAATCCTAATCAAGAAGGGAATTTATTAAAGATAAAAATGTCACCTTTTCCCAAGGATCATATTGCGGTCTGCATCTCCATCAGCAGCAGCTCCAAATTCTGGTGGGTTTGGTTCAGGATTAGTCTTAGACAATCCCATACGTGCAACCAACTCCTTTGCATATGTCAGATTGGGATCAGGATGACCTCCACCAAAGTCCTCCTGCTCAGATTAAATATTGTAGAAAATAGAAAAACAGCCTATCAGGGAAACCAATCCTCTCTATATGCATTATTTCATTCCTAAGAAATGCAGATATGACCTTGGGTACACAGTTTATTAGTGAGCTTTCTTCGGCACCCAGCTCATCCACAAATATACGTTTAGCATAAACTCCAGCAACACCATGAAGCGCGTCATAGCTATGTCATAGAACATGGTTTAGCATCTAATAGAAAATCATTAAATGAAAAACAAGAGTTTTCTGACAATTTTCAAGCATAACATGTCAAAATGTAAAAAACACCTACCAAAATGTAAAATTTGGAGAAGAAAGCAATTTCTGAATACACTGGAAATCAAATATAGACCTGAAAGATAAACATATCGTCTTTAGCAAACACAAATAAATATAATCAAAGAAACACTAAAAATAATAATAATAATAGAAAACATAGGGATTAGGGAACTTATTAAGTGAAAATATTAGCTCCCAAGTATCACTCACAAATTCAAACTAAATGACAAAGATTTCATACTTCATCAATTTTACATAGTCAGTAGTTGAATCAAAAACATCAACATCAAATTGTCCTTCTGGTCCACTGAAGCTTTTCACACCCACTGCAGAAATGTCCACCTGTAATGTAATTCCAGAATGAAGACTAGGAAAATTTCTACATGATGAAACAATAATTCAAAAATATACAAAATATTTTGCAAAGAAAAGATCATACATCAGGCAAGTCCTCTGCAATCAAGTATTCCTTTATTGTCGTGGTGTTCTCATATATCTTGTTAGTAATACCTTCGGGTGCAGGACCACCATTTTCCATGTTGTATTTAATTCCGAAATCCTATGAGATATCCATCACCCACACGAAATAGAAACATGAAACCTTTTTAGTAAGGAGCATATGATACGACCATGTGTATTTCAACAACTTTTAAGAATCCTCCCTAACGGAATTAACATTACAGGAACCAACCTCATTAGGGCCACCAGGGTTGTGACTAGCTGTCAATATAAATGCCCCATTTGCCTTTGACCCCTGCATTCAGGAGTAGAGAAAAAGATATTAGAACAATAAGGGCATAGTTTCACACAACAAAAGAAGGAAACACATTTCCAGGTCAATGATAGAACCAAAACAAAGCATACATCAGCTGCAACTCTTTCACGGATGACACCAGATACAGCAGGAGTAGACATTAATCCATTTAGACCAACCCAGATGCGTCTGACTCCATTTGCAGCTGACATTTTAATAATGATCTGCAGTAAGAACAGACATAACAGAGTAAGAAACCAGTCTACCAGTCCATGTGAAGCACCATAGGATGCCTAGTATTTGTTGAGTCTTTGGGAAATAGGTCGTGCAGTTGGCATCAACAAGCCACCACCCACTAGATAGCAGAAGCAATAAGTAGACAACTAAGAAAATATAGAGATAGTGAGATACAATAACATATTGTATATAATGTATATATCACAAGTTCACGCACATTGGGACAGTACCACAGGATAAGCATACAATACAACAAAAACATTCAAGCCTTAGTCCCAAAAGATTTTGGGGTCGGCTAAAATGAATCGATACATGATATCAGTGCCAAAAGGAAAAGAGAGATAAGAAAAATAAAAAGATAAGATAAGATAAGATAAAAAGACAATAAGAAAAGATAAGATAAAGATAAAACCAAAGGATAAACATGCACAACAAATATTTAAACTCAACATTCTCTCATTAATGGGAACTTATAGAGGTTCCAAACTTGGATGGTCATGCTCAATTGCTAGTCATAGGTCTCTTTTGTCAATCATCAGTCTCTTGAGCAGCTATTGTGGCGTAAGGGGTCTTGGCTTTTATACCTAACTGGCACATGCCCCTGATACAAAGGGTGTATCAATCGGTGCTGTCATTGGGAAATGGTGTATTGCGGGAGAGGGCTATCTGGTACTTGACAAGAACCAGATTAAAATCCGCCAGGCAGGAACAACAGAAAAGGGCTACCTGGTGCCCTAGGTAGTTAACTCGCACTCGGTAGTAACTCAGCCAAGGGCCGAGTAGCGAGTAGGACTGATTACTCGGGATTACTGGGTGACTACTCGATCTTGTAATTATTAAATTTAATAGCACGGGTGCCTGAGATTATAGAAATATAATACTCTTAAATTTGTCTTGAAATGCATAGAAATGAATAAAATGATAGAAATCCTAATGATGGAGTAGCAAAAGTCATAAACATTCTAAGTCTTCTAGAAAACTCAATCATCTAATAATTTGATAGGATCTCTGTTCTCTCCCCATGTCCATCCTAAATCATCTGATTTTCTCTTAAGTGTTGGATTAGCATATTCTGTCAATTAGATGATGTGTATCAGTGTGTATCGATCAATGATGTGTCATAATAAACAATCAATATAGTGATATTAATTTAAAGTTACGTAGTACGAAGTATAATATATATAGTCATACTAGTGAAAATAATTTATTTATATCAACAAATATGTGTGCATCAATATTAAACAATCAAGATGGTGATATTTTAAGCATGCAGAAAAGAACAATTGACGAAGAAGGATGGGAGGGCAGAAAAAGAAACGAGAGAGGGGAGAGGGGAAGATACGAGAAAGAGGATGGGAACTTATTGAGAGATCATAGTCACAGCTCTGGGTGATAATAGATGTCAGGGACTCCGTTTAACCTAGGTTTTGTAACTTAGTTTTTCAATTTTAAAGGGAGACCGAGTACTCGCTGAGTTGAAAACATCACCGAGTTGAGAAACTCGCCGAGTAACTCAGAAATAAAACACGGACCGAGTCATATAGCTACTCGACAAGGTCGGTAACCCGAGTTGCGAGTACTCGCTGAGTACTCACCGAGTAGATAACCCAGCTGGTGCCTAGAAGAGTGATAGTAACCAGTAGCAATCCACAATATACAACACAAGCTTACAACAATCCACAAGCTTTATTAATGGCGGTATACAGTAGAACAGTCCCAAAGCTAGAGATAAGACTCTAACTTCCCAGTCCCAAGCCAAGCATCTAACAGACTGCCTAACTGCTGACCAGTTTATTCTATTTATAGTCCCCTCACCTTATTACAAGTAGTTAGTAGTTCATAACAACTACCCGCCTGCCAACAACTAAACTACTTCTTCTTTCTAGAATAGACTAAACCATATTTATTCTTATTATTTGTAATAGCCGGGGTCCTATCAATACTCCCCCCCAAAGAAACAAGCTTGTCCTCAAGCTTGAAGTCTGGAAATTGTATCTTCAACACTTGAGCATCTTCCCAAGACCTTTCAAATTCTGGCAGATCTTCCCAATGTATCAAAACTTCAACTCTGCCATTTGTTCCCTCTCTGGTATCCACCACCTTCTCTGGTTTCACCAACAATTCCCAGTTTTCACTCAAGCATTTAGGCAATGGTTGACAGCTAATGTTGGAAGATAGAGCCCTTTTTAATAAAGAAATATGGAATACTGGATGGATCAGGCAATCATCTGGCAACTTCAGTTTAAAAGCTACATCATTCACCTTCTCAATGACTTCAAAAGGTCCATAAAACCTTGGACTCAATTTCTGATTGATCCTCTTAGCCAAACTCTGCAACTTATAAGGCTGAATCTTCAGGAAAACTTTCTCACCCACCTCTAACTTCATTTCCCTCCTGTGTTTGTCTGCTTGCTGCTTCATCTTGTTCTGGGCAATAGCTAGATTTTCTTTTAGTTCAGCTAACATTCCATTCCTCTCAGCTGTCAGTCTTGCCACTTCCTCATTAGCAGTCCCAACCACATCCCCTTTTATAATTGGTTGAGGTTCTTGTCCATATAAGGCCTGGTAAGGTGTTTGTTTTAAGGAAATATGGTAGTTAGTATTGTACCAATATTCTGCCCAAGGTAACCACTTGTTCCATTCCTTAGGTTTCTTCCCTGTGATACATCTCAAATATGTTTCTAAACACCTATTCACAACCTCCGTTTGGCCATCTGATTGAGGGTGGTAAGCAGTACTGTATCTCAACTGTGTGCCAGCCAGTTTGAATAACTCAGACCAAAAAGAACTCAAGAAAATGCTATCTCTATCACTCACTATGGATTTTGGAAACCCATGGAGTCTCACTATTTCTTTGACAAAGATTTCAGCAACTCCTTTAGCATTAAATGGATGGGACAAAGCTATAAAATGTGCAAATTTGGTTAGTCTGTCAACCACAACCAGTATAGTGTCTTTCCCCTGAGCTTTTGGCAACCCACCAATGAAATCCATGCTTATATTTGTCCAAATGCAATCTGGAATAGGTAGAGGTTGTAACAACCCTGCAGGTTTCAAAGCTTGATACTTGTTTCTTTGACAAACATCACAATTCTGCACATATAACTGAATCTGTTTCCTCATACCCACCCAATAGAACAGTGTTGAAATTCTCTTCATAGTTCTGAAATTGCCAGAATGTCCTCCTGTTGCAGAATCATGATATTCCCTAAGAATCCTTGTCACTCTAGGAGAATTTTGGGGTATCATCAGCCTTCCCTTGTAGTATAACAACCCTTTCTTCAATCTGAAGTCCACCATTTGATCCGGATGACTTAAAATCTTCTGAATAATATCAGCACATTTTGGATCTTCCTGCAGTTCATCTTCTAACCCTTCCCATTCCTGACAATTCACAATTGATAAGGCTGACAAATTAGGTTTCCTTGACAGAGCATCTGCAGCTTTATTCTCACATCCAGGTTTATATTTAATGATAAAATTGTATCCCATAAGCTTAGCAATCCACTTTTGTTGATCCTCTCCCATGATTCTTTGCTCAGTCAAGTATTTGAGGCTTCTTTGATCAGTGTGAACCTCAAATTTCCTACCCAATAAGTAGGGCCTCCATTTCTGAATTGCAAACACAATTGCCATCAACTCCTTTTCATAAACAGATTTACTCAAATGTTTAGGTGCCAGTTCCTTACTTAAAAATGCAATGGGACCCCCATCTTGCATAAGTACTGCCCCTAGCCCCCTCCCAGATGCATCAGTTTCTACTACAAAAACTTTACTGAAATCAGGGATTCTCAACACTGGTAAAGAAGACATAGCATTCTTCAATTCTACAAAAGCTTTAGTAGCCATATCACTCCATTTAAACCCATCCTTCTTCAACAATTGTGTTAATGGAGCAGCAATGTGACTATAGCCCTTGACAAACCTTCTGTAGTATCCAGTAAGACCCAAGAAACCCCTCAACTCCTTCAAATCTTTTGGTACACCCCATTCTACCATGGCTTTAGTTTTACTAGGATCAGCTGCCACCCCTTCTACAGAAATAATATGACCCAAATAACTCAGTTGCTCCTGACCAAAGGAACATTTCTTTTGATTGGCTACTAAATCATTCTTCTTTAAAACCTCCAGAACTAATTTGAGGTGTTCTTTATGATCCTCCTTAGTTTTGCTGTAAACCAGTATATCATCAAAGAATACCAATGCAAATTTTCTGAGGAAAGGTCTCAAAACCTCATTCATTAGAGCCTGAAAAGTGGAAGGAGCATTAGTCAACCCAAATGGCATGACTAGGTACTCATAATGACCTTCATGAGTTCTGAAAGCAGTCTTACAGGTGTCACTCTCCTTCATTCTGATTTGGTGGTAACCTGATTTCAGATCTAGTTTAGAAAAAACCACTGCTCCCCCCAATTCATCTAGCAACTCTTCTATAACTGGTATGGGAAACTTGTCAGGTATAGTGATCTTATTCAAGGCTCTATAATCACCACAAAATCGCCAACCACCATCTTTTTTTCTAGCCAATAATATAGGACTGCTGTAGGGACTGTTACTGTGCTTAATGATACCTGATTTTAACATTTCACCAATTACCTTCTCTATCTCATTTTTCTGATCAAATGTGTACCTGTAGGGCCTCAGATTTGGTATGCTAGCTCCTTCTTGGATGTTTATGGCATGATCACAGTTTCTAGCAGGAGGAAACTTCAACTAATCATTAAACACCTCTGGAAATTTAGCAATGATGTCCTCCCAAACCTTGGTTTCCTTAGTATTCTGTTCCAAACCATACAATTGCCCTCCATAATACAGACAGTATCCCTCCCCTTCTGTCTGCAGAATCTGAAGCATAGTCTTCATTGGAACCTCCCAATTATTTAGTGCAGCTTCCCCTTGGATACAATTGATCCTATCTTCTTGTTTCCATTTGATCACTTGCTTCTGAAAGTTCACTTCCATGTCTCCCAACTCAGTCAACCATGCC